AACAAATCATTGGGAGTGTGCCATCCTAGCTCCAGGTTTGGTAGGAGATAGTGTTGTTTCTCCAGTCGCTAATAATTCCTGTCTGAAATGAAAGGTGTTGAGTATAGATTCAGTTTTGCCTTGGTTGTCAAAAAATACAATGCATCTTAATTTCCTTTGACAGCAAGCTTTATCCGTGTGGTTGCTGGAGCGTGTACCAACCGAGGCTGGCCTTCTGACTGAAGTAGTTTCATTGCCTGTAGGGCACTTTTGACATATGACTGGAGCTTCAAGCTCATTCAAACAACCTGCACACCTTGCATGTATTGTTTACCCTGGAGGCCATCTCGCATATAAAACAAACCACATTATGCCACATGGTGTGTTCCTTTTCTGGACTACTTTTTAAACCAATATATAAACTTTCAAGCAATATTATTAAGTTAGCAATACTGTATTCAAAAAATGTAATGTGCTGGAGAATATATCTGTACCTTAACAGTTTTTAGTGGGGGTTTAATAAAATAGTTTATTGAACAGGTTTTCATGACGAAGATTCGGGTTCGATTCCCCTCGTGGGTACAATGTGTGAAGCACATTTCTGGTGTCCTCCGCCGTGATATTGGTGGAATATTGCTAAAAGTAGCGTATAAAACTAAACTCACTCGTATATTGTGATATCAAGAAGAAGAACCCAATTAATGTTACTTCTAGATTCACCTTCCAATGCCTGGAGAGAATGTCAACAGTCAACCAAGATGTATGTACACTGACGATGTGAACTACAGTGCCATATGGATGGTGGGCGCGTGTGTGTGCGCGCGTGCGTGCGTGCGTGCGTGCGTGCGTGTAGTGCAGCACTGTTTAACCAGACAACCCAAGCATCAACTGGTGTGTTTGTGTGTGTGTGTGTGTGTGTGTGTGTGTGTTTGTACTCATAGTCCCAGTGTATGAAATAAGGCCCGTCCGACCGCGCGAGACGGGCTAGATTTCTGACGGACTGTCTAAATTTACAGCAAGTCAGCCCCATGGTCTGGTAAATTTTGTTAGATATTCCATACATCTGAGTAAATTCACCATATCTTTGAGTCTGGTCTGGTTAAATCAATGTTGTTTAACCAAACAACCAAAGAATCAACTGGGATGTGTGTGAGTGTGTGTGTGTGTGTGTGTAGTGCAGCACTCTTTAGCCAGACAACCCAAGAATCAAGTGGTGTCTCTCCGTCTCTGTCTGTCTGTCTGTCTGTCTGTCTGTCTGTCTGTCTGTCTGTCTCTCTCTCTCTCTCTCTCTCTCTCTCTCTCTCTCTCTCTCTCTCTCTCTCTCTCTCTCTCTCTCTCTCTCTCTCTCTCTCTCTCTCTGAGATGTGGCTCTGTGAGTATGTGTGTGTGCGTGTGTGTGCCTGCGTACGTGCCTGCAGTGCATCACTGTTTGACACTGTTTAATCCACATTCATCTGGTCCAGACTGGATTATTTACAGATTGACATACCACTGACATTTTGCTGACTGCAATATGGGGTGTTTTTTAACATATATAGTATGACCAGAAATTATTGAGAATTTTAGGAATATGTTTAATTGGATTTCTAGTATAAACAACCTTGACCAGCTATCAAGTGCTTGGTTTCATTCAAGAGAGACAATTCCGTCAATCCTTTTTCATTAGTTTGTGAAGAGTTATCCCCCTTTGTTTACTTGCTAGCAGACGGCATTTTCAGTGATCCTCAGTATGGATGATTTAGAGAAGAGGAAGTTGATTTTAGAGTATTATAACAGGGACATCAGATCAGCTAAAGTGATTTCAAGTAGAACAGGTATCCCTGTGTCCACTGTTTATCGTGTTTTGAATAATATTGCAAATGGATATGGCATTGAGCACCAGGGAGGCGCAGGGAGGCCCAGAAAATTGACTGTCGGTGACAGGAGGTGGCTTGGTATTCTTGTTTCTAAAAACAAACGTAGGAGTTTAGAAAACTTAAGGCTGGATATGTTTGATAGAGGAACTGTGGCTGTCTGTAAGGAGACAATTAGAACTGAGCTGCATGCAATGGGTTGGCAGAAAAGTCGAGGAATTCCATCACCGATCATGAAACCTGAACAAAAGGAGCTAAGGTTGAACTGATACTTACAGCATTGACATTTTAACTGGGACAATGTGATTTTCTCAGATGAAAGTTCTGTGTGGCTTTTTTCTAATACACTGAAATTCTGGACCAAACAAACTGAAAAACCTTTGTATCAGCGCCCAAAGTACAGTCCGAAATTTAACGTGTGGGGTGGCATATCTGTGTTAGGGGCAACGCCCTTCTGTGTATTTGAAGGGAATATGAACAGTGAGCGGTATACAGATATTCTCGAGGGACATTTACTTCCATCTGCTCACGTGTTCTATGGAAATCTTTGGCTTTTCCAGCAGGACAACGACCCAAAACATCGTTCAAAACATTCACAGGCCTGGTTTCGGACCCAAAATATGACATTATTAGATTGGCCAAGCTATAGCCCTGACCTAAACCCAATAGAAAATGTTTGGGGACTTATGAAGGAAAGTGTCAATAAGCAAAATCTGACAAATATTGCTGAAATGAAAGAAGAGGTGGTCTGATATTGAGACAGCATGGACCACGCCTTTCTAACTTCTTTGATCAGTAGTATGCATGCCCGCCGCATTGAAGCCTGCATTGCTGCGCATGGTGACTTGACAAAATACTAACTGTTCACCTGTCTTTGAATCTGGAGTTATGTTCTGATAATATTTACATTTAATACGTGAGTAATGAGTGAAAAAAATATAAAAAATTCAATCTTTAAATTCTCAATAATTTCTGGTTGTACTGTATTTTGTTAACCCATAACAGTGTAAATATCTTACTGGCAAGTTAAAATCTTGGAAGCTACTTTGTTGATGTGTGCTGCCTATATAACATCCATGGTGCATCTGTACCCTCAGACCCATGCCTCAGGTGTATGCCAACCTACCTCCATAAGATACCCAATATGGCTTAAGAGAACGATCTGAACTGATTGGTGAGGCAGAGGTTTCAAATTTCTCTTTCTCTTTGTCTATAGGGTTTGACATTTGAAATCAGTTCAGAGTAGTTGAATCCACCTGACTCACATCTCTGTTCTGGACAAGGAACCGTATTGTTCACAAAATGGGTCCATACCTCAGGTAACTGTTCATATTGACTGTACTCATTTTGCTCAAATCTCAGGAAAGGTTAAGCAACTATTTCTGGACAGAGCAAACAGGTCAAACAAACATACTGATCTACATGTTTGTTGTACCACAGAGCAAGTTACACAGCACCATGGTTCTACACTTCCATATCTCAGGACAGGTGACCATATGGTGTTATAACTTAGGACAGGTTAATTGACCATATGGTTTCCAGGTGTGTAACATCTCAGGATGGGTTAAAGGACCATATGGTTTACATTAGTGTAAGATCTCAATATGGGTTAAAGGACCATATGGTTTACATGTGTGTAATATCTCAGGATGGGTTAAAGGACCATATGGTTTACATGTGTGTAATATCTCAAGATGGGTTAAAGGACCATATGGTTTCTCAGGATGGGTTAAAAGGACCATATGGTTTACATGTGTGTAATATCTCAGGATGGGTTAAAGGACCATATGGTTTACATGTGTGTAATATCTCAAGATGGGTTAAAGGACCATATGGTTTACATGTGTGTAATATCTCAGGATGGGTTAAAGGACCATATGGTTTACATGTGTTATCTCAGGATGGGTTAAAGGACCATATATGGTTTACCATATGGTTTACATGTGTAATATCTCAGGATGGGTTAAAGGACCATATGGTTTACATGTGTGTAATATCTCAGGCTGGTTAAAGGACCATGTGTGTAATATCTCAGGATGGGTTAAAGGACCATATGGTTTACATGTGTGTATATATCTCAGGATGGGTTAAAGGACCATATGGTTTACATGTGTGTAATATCTCAGGATGGGTTAAAGGACCATATGGTTTACACATAGGACCATATGTGTAATATCTCAGGATGGGTTAAAGGACCATATGGTTTACATGTGTGTAATATCTCAGGATGGGTTAAAGGACCATATGGTTTCCATGTGTGTAATATCTCAAGATGGGTTAAAGGACCATATGGTTTACATGTGTGTAATATCTCAGGATGGGTAACCTCTAAAGGACCATGGGATGGGTTTACATGTGTGTAATATCTCAGGATGGGTTAAAGGACCATATGGTTTACATGTGTGTAATATCTCAGGATGGGTTAAAGGACCATATGGTTTACATGTGTGTAATATCTCAGGATGGGTTAAAGGACCATATGGTTTACATGTGTGTAATATCTCAGGATGGGTTAAAGGACCATATAGTTTACACCATATGGTTGGATGGGTTAAAGGACCATATGGTTTACATGTGTGTAATATCTCAGGATGGGTTAAAGGACCATATGGTTTACATGTGTGTAATATCTCAGGATGGGTTAAAGGACCATATGGTTTACATGTGTAATATCTCAGGCTGGGTTAATATCTCAGGATGGGTTAAAGGACCATATGGTTTACATGTGTGTAATATCTCAGGATGGGTTAAAGGACCATATGGTTTACATGTGTGTAATATCTCAAGATGGGTTAAAGGACCATATGGTTTACATGTGTGTAACATCTCAGGATGGGTTAAAGGACCATATGGTTTACATGTGTGTAATATCTCAGGATGGGTTAAAGGACCATATGGTTTCCATGTGTGTAATATCTCAGGATGGGTTAAAGGACCATATGGTTTCCATGTGTGTTATAGGATGGGTTAAAGGACCATATGATTTACATGTGTGTAGGATGGGTTAAACGTCCATATGATTTACATGTGTGTCAGTTCTCATGATAAGTCAAACCGCCATATGGTTCTACATCTCAGGATGAATCAATCAAAGAACCATATTTCCTGACCAGAAGGAGACCCCCACCTCCATGTGTCAGAGTGAACAAGAAGAACACCGACAAACTGTGCCAAATGGGAATACTTTATTACCTCTGGCAATCTAGAGTCTGAACATCGGCTAGGACAATCGAAGCAGAGGAGATGAGTACTGTGTAATGTACAAGAGTCATGTCAGTTGAAGCTACACGAAATAGACATTTTGTTACCATGGTAACATCTCTGGCTACACTACAAGTGTCATCTTTGTACAAAGTCACCAAGACTGACAGCAGAATAAATATCAGAAATAATAAATAATAATTACAAAGTTAATCATCAATAACATCATCACAAGCCTTGCTCAAGTCCTACAGTACTGAACACATTTCAGTCCTTGATGAAATCAAGTACACCTTACTTCACTCTCATCCTAAGCACAGGCACAAGCTTGTTACTGGCTGAAACAAAATACAGACTGTATTTCATCTGGCAAATTTTATAAATAAATCATTTCTACATCACAGAGCTCAACCTTTCACTATGCCCAACTTTCAATTCTGATGCTGGAGCATCACTGAATACTGTAGGCACACACAAGAAGCAATGATATTTGATATGCAAATCTGCAAACTAGTGCTCAGATTGGGAACTGCCTAATACCAAGCTAAACAGTAATCTGCAAATTCAATAAATATCTAGAACAAAAGTAAAATAACTGCAAAAATTTCCTCAGTAAATATATACTTTGGACAATGATATCATTTGTCTGTAAAAGAAACCATTAATACTCCTTAACAAATGATGGGTCAGAAACTAGTGGACTATGATGGTTAGTGAATTGGCATCTCCAGAATGGCTGAAGCATAGTTATAACCAAATATTCTCGGATATTGCTCACACCAAACAGAACACTGTTACACCACTTAGATTATAGATGATGAGCTGACCAAGGTGCCAGTGCTGTCTATACACATGACTCCAGTAGAGTAGTCTAGATTTGCCCCCAACGGGAAATGCTCAGAATGATCACACGGTAGGTACACAGGACAGGTCGAAATAAAGTAGTGTATTTTACAGAGTTCAACTCTCAGCTGGTGCCTCCTCTCCTTCGCCTTCTCCCTTGCCCTTAAGACTCTGGCGCCAGTCAGGTGTCTTTGACTGAAAAATACAGTGTTCGTTGTTAGGGCAAAGCATCAAGTAGTTGTTAGGGAAACAGTGATCTGACAACTGATGAGAAGTGAAAATTTGTTGATCGTAGATACTTTACCCGACTGTTTGTTTGCACTAGTCTAAACCTTGAAGTTGAAGTGCAATATCTATGGAACGTTCAGATTGAAACATGTTGACATAATAGGGATGAAAATGATATTGCTTTCCTGAAAACAGATCACTGTCAACAATCTACAGCAGTCATGACATACCGTACATCATCATGACAGGGATCTATGACTAGGTGTAAGGTCAAGGTCAAGGTCAATAGTAACGTACATCCTGTAATACGGGTGTATGATGTGGGTGTATAACATGGGGTATGATGTGGGCGTATAACATAGGTGTATGATGTGGGTGTATAACATAGGTGTATGATGTGGGTGTATAAAATAGGTGTATGATGTGGGTGTATAACATAGGTGTATGATGTGGGTGTATAACATAGGTGTATGATGTGGGTGTATAACATAGTGTATGATGTAGGTGTATGATGTGGGTGTATAACATAGGTGTATGATGTGGGTGTATAACAAAGGCGTATGATGTGGGTGTATAACATAGGTGTATGATGTGGGTGCATAACATAGGTGTATGATGTGGGTGTATAACATAGGTGTATGATGTGGGTGTATAACATAGGTGTATGATGTGGGTGTATAACATAGGTGTATGATGTGGGTGTATAACATGGTGTATGATGTGGGTGTATTACATAGGTGTATGATGTAGGTGTATGATGTGGGTGTGTAACATAGGTGTATGATGTGTGTGTATAACATAGATGTATGATGTGGATGTATAACATAGGTGTATGATGTGGGTGTATAACATAGGTGTATGATGTGGGTGTATAACATGGTGTATGATGTAGGTGTATGATGTGGATGTATAACACAGGTGTATGATGTGGGTGTATAACATAGGTGTATGATTTGGTTGTATAACATAGGTGTATGATGTGGGTGTATAACATAGGTGTATGATGTGGGTGTATAACAGGTGTATGATGTGGGTGTATAACATAGGTGTGTGATGTGGGTGTATAACATAGGTGTATGATGTGGGTGTATAACATAGGTGTATGATGTGGGTGTATAACATAGGTGTATGATGTGGGTGTATAACATAGGTGTATGATGTGGGTGTGTAACACAGGTGTATGATGTGGGTGTATAACATAGGTGTATGATGTGGGTGTATAACATAGGTGTATGATGTGGGTGTATAACAGGTGTATGATGTGGGTGTATAACATAGGTGTGTGATGTGGGTGTATAACATAGGTGTATGATGTGGGTGTATAACATAGGTGTATGATGTGGGTGTATAACATAGGTGTATGATGTGGGTGTATAACATAGGTGTATGATGTGGGTGTGTAACACAGGTGTATGATGTGGGTGTATAACATAGGTGTATGATGTGGGTGTATAACATAGGTGTATGATGTGGGTGTATAACAGGTGTATGATGTGGGTGTGTAACATAGGTGTATGATATGGGTGTATAACATAGGTGTATGATGTGGGTGTATAACATAGGTGTATGATGTGGGTGTATAACAGGTGTATGATGATGTGGGTGTATAACATAGGTGTTTGATGTGGGTGTATAACATAGGTGTATGATGTGGGTGTATAACATAGGTGTATGATGTGGGTGTATAACATAGGTGTATGATGTGGGTGTATAACATAGGTGTATGATGTGGGTGTATAACATAGGTGTATGATGTGGGTGTATAACATAGGTGTATGATGTGGGTGTATAACATAGGTGTATGATGTGGGTGTATAACAGGTGTATGATGTAGGTGTATGATGTGGGTGTATAACATAGGTGTATGATGTGGGTGTATAACATAGGTGTATGATGTGAGTGTATAACATAGGTGTATGATGTGGGTGTATAACAGGTGTATGATGTGGGTGTATAACATGGTGTATGATCAACAATAGCACACATACTCGTGACACTGGTGTATAGTAACAAATAGTGGAAAGTCAGACGACAGAAGCAGTAGTTAGAGTATTGTCTCCAGTTATATATTTGCTGTGGTGTGGGGAGGCAAATGCAATATTTTCCCGTGTGAAACATAGTTTATCTTTAGGGCAACTGCATATCTTCTAAATAACATTACAATCACACTAAAATATCAGTTATGGTTATTTCTTTCAAAGTAATTTTTGTAGAATCAATGTATTTTTCAACAGAGCAATAAAATCGACTTAAAGTGTGACCTTGACGGAAGAATGAAAGCAGGTTCAGCCCAGGTTTCATACACCAGGAAAATATACAGAGGAACAGTGTCGGGCCTTCTGGGGCGGCATCATTCAACAACATCGGTGTCGGGACAGTTATTGTAACAGAACATACCCCTTCCAAGGAAGGATCTGATACTAATTTGTTGTAGTAGTAGAGTATAGGGAGATGAATGCTGTTTAGACCACACAGTGCAACACATTTATCTAACACCTACTTTAGCTGATCCTTCTCCCTGCAAGAAATTAGTTAACACCAATATTTAATTCCTACACCAGATGATTCATATCTGGGAAACATACAACTATATGACTGGTCTTACAACTGTCTTACTGACAGTAGCCCTGGAGCGTTGACTCAACACCACTTAGCATCAAGTCAGGTAATTACATACACAACTTATATTGTAAACACTGCTTATACACATAATATATAAGCACTGACATTCAATAATCAAAGGCAAAAGTATTTCCAATCAAATATATATATTCATTATAAAAATGTAACCATCAGTATTATGATATAGAGGAAATGGATTTATGATTCATTATGCTTGTTTCCATGACAAAGCCCTTGTAACGACAGACCTAGTAAGTAAGGGCCAGGTGTTATTGTCAAGTAGGGTGAGAAGACAGGCAACTTTCAGACTGCCCTTCCTTTCAAACTCTGACATATGCCAAATGGGAATAAAACAACATCATCACTTGAGTAAGGAATACAGAAATCTGCGTTTTTGAATTTTTGATTGTATAAAAATAACAATTTTTTTTAAAGCATATGGGTTAATATTCAGTGAAATCAAACACCAATCCTCTCTTGATTTGAGTATTTTCTTTCTCAGAAATATAATGTAATAATGATTACAGATAGTTTTGCCTTTGAGCATATATTGTGTTGCACTAGGACTCTGTATGCAGCACAATGTAACACACAAGGTACTGTTGTTCACCTGCTGTAGCAGCTCCTCAAGCGTCTGTACCTACAGTCACTCATACCGATGGCAAGGGACTTTCATTCAAGCATGCTGTTTGATCTGCTGTTCAGAAACTCACCTCTTCTTTCTCATCCAGTGCGAACTTGTTCTGGCCTGTAGATTTCAGATTGCTGCGGAAATCTCGAGATTCCTTCTTATCCAATTTGGCAAGTTTACTTTCTGTCTTATTAACCTTTCTGAGAACTGGTTTGATACTGAAAATTAAAAACTTGAGTTAGCATCACTGACAAATCTCTACAACAGGTTTGATCGTCATGGTTTTACATATATTGTACAGTCATAACTGTAATAAAATAGTTTTCTTATAAAAATATTTAATCAAATTTGTTTTTTGAAATGTAAAGGTTTGAGATTCAAGTGTCCTTAATCAGAAATGGGATGCATTCATCTTGCTTCATCAGGCTAAATCTGAGTGAAGAATTGCTTGCTTGCTTGACAACAACAGTAGTATCTATGTCGAAACATCGCCTATACGGAATAAAGAAGTTGTATATCAATAAAAATAGTCCTCATTCTTCATCTACTCAACTTCTAGAATGCCTATCAAAGAAGTGAATCTGAGTGACAATGAACGGTGGAACAGAAATACTGAGTTATGTCCTTGCTGTTGTCAAAATATACATACATGGATATTACAGAAAGGGATGTCATATATATACGTACAATTTGCCCTTTGTGTCATTGACCTTCAGCGTTAATTCATTGATCTGTGAACAGATAATAACACATATTATATATCAGAGGTACATACCAACTGTCTTGATACACTGAATATTTAATACAACATAGAAGAGGAATCATTTAGAAACAGGTATGGCATTTACAATCAATATATGCTTAAGTTTAACTGGATTAGGAAATACGTTCATGCCATAATATGATAATATCAGCTAGGGTGTGGAAGGCATTGGCAAATTATTTTTATACATATTGGATCAAAGCCATAATGTCATACATCTGATTCTGTCTCAATTGACATTCAAGAGAACAAGAATTGTTTTTATGTTCAACTGTACTGTACTAACATTAATGCAACTGAAAAGAATTTATAAGAAAATGCAATACATATTATAAAAATAGATATTACATTATAAAATTACAATGGCATAAAAGTATTATGCTGGTATACAAGTGTACGAAAGGCCTATGTAGAATATCTGAAAGAGATCAGACACCAAGTAATTGAATGTGTAAGATCAGCATGCTATAAGAATACTTTAGAAACTTCAGCAGTCTCTGATGGCAAACTGGGAAATAGTATTGAAATGTAATAAAACATGTTAAAACTTCTGTTTATTTTAAGCTTATTTCTCTGTTAAATGTATAACAGTTCTACTTAAACTGACCTCGAAATCTTGTTTCCTGATTTTCACCTCCCAATCGTAGACCTCCTCCTCCAGGAGGCATACCTTGTCGTGAAGGGTCTTACACAATCCAGACAGATCAGCTGCAACAAGCAGACGCCAGTTAACATTCAGCATACACAACACAGAACACCTGCAAAATCAACAACTTGTAAACTGTTGAGGTTTAGATGGCATTGCTTAATCAAAGACAGAACTTGATGTTGTTGTACCAATCACTAACTAATGTATGCATTCTTCCAGTTAGTATTAAACTACTTTTCTCTTGAGAAGAATTGTAAAACTTCAATGGTTATAAGTTTTGGAATAATTTACAAAACAGTACTGACACCTGACAAATATACAATTCAGCTAACTAGCTAACTACTAACTGCTAATTGCTAACAGCTAACTGAATATAAAGAGCTACTGACAACAAAGTGAATATATGGTTAAGTTCAGTCACTAATCTCAGTTTGCTTATGTATATTCTACATTAGTTTCCAAAACAAAAAGGATCATTTGACATTATTTTGTGATACTGTTTGCAGTTTTCAACTTTGGAGATGAAGAACCTGAAGGCAAAAGTTTTGGTAGCAATGTTTCAAAGCTGGTGGGCTTCAGTCAAATAATCCCCAAGAAGCGGATATAGCCAACAACAGACAGACATGGTGTATACGGACACAAGTGTGGCTCAACTTGAACAACTATCTAGTACCAACAGTTTTAATAGTAACTCCATATTATGAGGTGTGTCAGTGTTTTAAGCAATGCTACATTGTGCTACAACAGTAAACCAGTGCCCAGCATAGATGCATATACTGTCCAGTCTCTTCAATATTGTCGAAGAAATTCCACAGTTTGGCCAGCACCTCGCTGTGGCTTCAAGTCTGTCCCCATTATCAGCATCAACATAAACATGTGCAGTCATGCTATACAATTATGTGCAGCATGATATAATTTCCCCGCCAATGATGCAGTGATGTTAATAGAGGCGTCTCATGATTATCTTGCAAAAATTGCTGGGAAAGAAATAATGAAATAAAGGTTTGGATTTCACAGCTGAGGTTTGCCAATATTGGCCCCTGCGAGGAGAGGATGTCACATATATGGAAGGCAGCAACACACATGGAATACTCACACACTGAGGTCCCAGCATGCAACAAGAGAAACATCATATTGATACATTCACTCATACAATAGTCGGCTAATACATTCGTTTAACTGCTAGAAATGCATGTTTATTTCATTAGTTACATTAGTACAGTTCTAGGGTCACAACTCATGTCCTCTTAAATTACTTCTTTGAAAGACTGCAGCAACAATGTGTTCTTCAAAATAAAGAAGGTTTTCACGTTCATGCATGGAGAACTAAAGTACAGGTGGACAGAGGTATGATGAAGTAACTCAATGGTAAGCTAGGCAAATCAGTCCTCTCTGTGTGAGCTTCAATGAAATGAGTTAACGATGGGTGCGGATATATACCTTGCAGCAAATGATACCACCCAACCAAGACATGCCACAGTGATCTTCCAATGGACCACCTACTTGAAGATGACCCACCAACCATCAAATGAAAGTCATATACCAGAGGACCATCCACTTGCACAGGACCCACCAACCATCCCCTGCCACCACCATATTCCAGAGGACCACCCACCTGCAGATAACCCACCCATCACATGCCACCACCATATTCCAGAGGACCATCCACCTGCAGATAACCCACCCATCACAAGTCACCGCCATCTTCCAGAGGACCACCCACCTGCAGATAACCCACCCATCACATGTCACCGTCATCTTCCAGAGGACCACCCACCTGCAGATAACCCACCCATCACAAGTCACCGCCATCTTCCAGAGGACCACCCACCTGCAGATAACCCATCCATCACAAGTCACCACCATATTCCAGAGGACCACCCACCTACAGATAACCCACCCATCACATGTCACCGCCATCTTCCAGAGGACCACCCACCTGCAGATAACCCACCCATCACAAGTCACCGCCATCTTCCAGAGGACTACCCACCTGCAGATAACCCACCCATCACATGTCACTGCCATATTCCAGAGGACCACCCACCCATCACATGTCACTGCCATATTCCAGGAACCACCCACCTGCAGATAACCCACCCATCACACGTCACCATCAAACCCACCAACCCACTTTCCCAGTATGATGTGCTTGAATGGACGTCACAATGATAACTCTATGTACGGGTAGGATCTCCTCAGGACTCCGCAGTAGAGAGTTTCTAAGCCTCATATTTCTGAGTTGTGTCCCCACAGAGTGCCCAATACGGAGTAGCTACCCACCTTGGTTCATGCCCTCGGTCTTGAGGATGGGCACTCTCTCGTTGATGTACTGCTCCTTCTCCTCAGCCTTCTTCTTGGCCTCGTTTCTCAGGTCCTCAGCAGCCTTCTGCATGATAAGCCTCTGCAACACACACACACACACACGCTGTCATACATGGCTCTCTGGGCTCCAGCAACCAAACAGACACTGCCTTGCACAGGAACATCAACATAGGGCTTCTTACAAACACTGGATCAAATGTTCTTCAATCTCAAAGAATTTAGGTACAAATTCAGCATACAAAAAAATGTCAGAAATTACACAAATATTTTTGGACAAGTTGATGCTCCTTCCAACAGTAGATGTTGAAACACAATTGGACAAACATTGAGAGTTTACAGAGAATTTAATAAAGTTACATTAGCATGCCAACAAAAAAATTAAAAGCATTTAATGCAAGAGCAAGTTATACATTGCAAACAATTATAGACAATAGAATATTAATTCTGTTAAAACATTTACAAGCTTATTATTGTAGTATTATTATTCAAACAGCATAATTATGAATTAGTAAGCAACTTAAGTGACCTGTCACAGATGATAATCAAAATACAAATATTAACACTAAAACACTCACAGTTTAATAAACAAAATCAAAATACTGAAACTGTTGTGAGATTTTCTTCCAAACTGGGGGAGTAAACACAACTAACGACCAGAGCAAAAACAGAGATAAGAATAACAGCAATTTATTAGACCATAGTTTAAGTGCACTTAAATACTTTTATTTGTGTGGGTAGTTTTTGTTTTGCATGTTAAGTGCACTTGAGCTGAACTTAAAGCTTGTACTCACATAATTTTCCCAATCCATCCTTCAGCCTCATCATGGCGACTTAAACAATGCTTAGTTCTGCATTATTTAAAAAGGCCCAAGTCTTGTCAGTGCCAGGCAAAATAAAACTTTCACCTCAACAAAACTGTTTTAATTTGCGGTTAAAGTACCCCTTTCTCAGCCCTGTGATTGCGAGCGTTTTAGTACAAGAAGTATTATGTTTAGGTAAGCTAAAGGGTTACAGTAACTGCCTAACACATTTGAAGGTAGAGAACCTGGAGTATATGTGAATAATTAAGGATTAATATTAATTGTGGTTAACGAGGCTGGTTCAATGTACCTTGAGAAGCTTCTTCTTCTCGGGTGACAGTCCCCCGAGACCTTTCCTCTTTCCCTTCTTCTTCTTATCCTCTTCTTCCTTCCTGCGGGCGGCCTGGGGGGAAATCAGGTGGACGTTAGCACTCGGCGACTGAGTGAGCGAGCGAGCGAAGAGGAAGAAGTGTGCTCGGAGCCGGCATTGAGCCGCTGGAGCCACAGCTCCTTATAATGGAGTAAGCAGTCATTCATCCTACACCAGCCTCGTGTTGAGTAAACCTAGACCTAGCTCACCCTACTTGATGCAGCCATTCATAGCCTAACCTACCCACTACATAGTCTGTTTTGGTCACTTATCATACTGTTTTTATGTTTCGCTGATGAGGGAACAGATTAGTTTTTTCCGAATTTAGATATTTTTGAAGCCCCAAGCCCCACCCTGAGGTGATGGCAACTGAGAAGAAAGCACATAAAGTGGGATTACACAGGTGAAGTTATAGTGTGGGCAGTTGCATGTAGAAAGACAAAAGATACATTATGGTCTGAAAAAGAATTAATTGGTGTTGAACAAATGGATGAGAGATTTCGGAGGTAGGGATGCATTATGGGCCAAAGCTAGACAACAGCTTGCAGCTGAATCACAGACAGGAGTTTATAGTTTGGTTATTGCACAAAGTATTAGTAGAATTAGCTAGCTAAACTACCATTGTGACGTGTAAGTGACAGGCGCACATGGACAGAGTAACTAGGCTAGCTTGCTAGAGGAAAGAGTCCACAGGGCGAGGCTTGCACAAAAATAGCCAAAATGTCAAAACCAAAAATCTTTTAGTAATTGACTATGAACATGATCCCCGTGACGCACTTGCAACGAAAATACCCTCATCAAATCACAATTTCCATGCTTTTATTGATACCATATCTCCACAACTCCAAGCATGTTTTCGTCCCGCACTATGTATTGCCTCTAGCAGGCCGTGTAGGTTACCTTCAAATGTTATCAATGTCTTAGCTACTGACGCCTGACAGAAAGACAGACACATACCTGTGGTGCATTCTACCTCATTCTGCACACCTTACTCTCACCTTCTATCAGCTATACACATTTTGAGGCAAAAATTAGAATTTGAACGAATTGACAGATATTCAGAAATAAATTTGGCAGATGTATTTTTCGGTTAATCCAAATGGAAGATATGTTGCCGGATATCTCTTCAGCTTTTGTATGTGTTAGAGAGGACTAAGAATGAATCTCCTGGCTGATCTGTGTAACCCTACAGGGATAGTTCAGTGGATGAAAACATGGCGGAAACATTCAAACCTACCTGCATGGCTGCCATTGGTTCAGCTGCCACGCAAGTCATTCCCTACAGGCTGATCAAATACTTTAAGCTGATAGGCTGGTTTTTCAGTTTACACCCAGCTGATTTGTCTCGTGCAAATCTAGTGCATCATGTGATTACGTAAACTAACACTGGTGCATCAAGTGAGAGATAGAAACAAAACATTGACATGTAAAATGTCCAGAATCCTGAAAATAGATCAATTATTAAAATATGAACTTGATAATATGATTGATTTGTCAGATTAAGTCTATTCCTACTTTCAACATTGGTGTTAATTTCATTCTACTTCCTACGGTTTTGAGGGTACATAACATACACAGCAAGGGCATCGAAATGTAGGAGCAAGACGATAAAGTGGACATGAATTTCACTTGAAACAGTATGAAATGTGATCCCAACCAATGATAATGAATGGCACAGAAAATGATGAAAAGAAACTGAAATGAAATGATATAGTATGAAAATGATGATATAAAACATGATCATATTGATGTGATGAGTGGACATATGAAGATATGAGATATTCTGATGTAGAAGAATGACTGCAACTCTCTACGCAACATGGCAAAATTGGTTTGAACGAAACACTTTTTAAAAAATTTCATGTATTTTATTGATCCAAATCTCTACTACAAACAAAAGCATCACTTTTTTACCTTGTGACCATATCAAGCCATGGCGATGGAAAATGGAGCTAGACATTTCTACGATAAGTGAATCCAGTTGTTATTTCAAACAAAGAAGGATTCGGCAGAGACAGAATGTGACAAAGATGACATTGTTGCCTCAAATTACTGACAAATTGGACAAGATAAACAAAATTAATAACATATAACTATTAAGTCATACTTGTTAACATTTGAGGGCAAACATTTTGGAGATTGAGGATACAAATATTTGAATATTAAAAAAGGTAGTACTGAATGTAATAGTGAAAAGAAACCAAAGTTTAATTTTTGTTAAAAGGAGGCGACAATGTACCATACAGTATTAGATTGAGTGTACAAAAAACAGACGCATTTTGAAAAATTCTGAGAAAATTCAGCAGTTCAATCAACCAACCCAAATGAAAAACTGAAGATATTTTAAAAAACATTTTCTCAGAATTTTCAAACATGTAACACTCTATCAAAAGCAATTGCTACAGTCTTGAATAACCCAACAATGACATCAGTTGAAATGTATTCAGAAGGATTCAACTTTTTAACCTCCGACAAGAATGAGGAATTAAAGATTTTCCAATTTACATTTGATCAAACACCACTGTAACAGAATGAAAGCTTTTCCAATTTACATTTGATTAAACACCACTGTAACAGAATGAAAGCTTTTCCAATTTACATTTGATCAAACACCACTGTAACAGAATGAAAGCTTTTCCAATTTACATTTGATCAAACACCACTGTAACAGAATGAAAGCTTTTCCAGTTTACATTTGATCAAACTGTAACAGTGAGGAGATGTAGCAATTGCTTACAGGACATGTTGATTAATGTTATAAGAAGTGAAAGGCTGTCACTTACCTCCTCCTTCTCCTGTCTCTCACGTTCTAGTCTTTCTTCTTCCATTCTCTTTTCCTCCTGAAATAGAAACACCATTGATATACTGTCAGAATACACAGCTGCCTTGCAATGGACAGTCAGCTAAGTCATTACAGAAACAACTCATTTTACAAATTAAAGTTGATAAAAACATGGACTGTAAAGTATTCTACATTCATAGTTCAACTGGTTACAACTTATTGCTATGACTCACCTGAGGGCCTTGTGTCATTCCAGAATGCCATGGTGAAAGCAATGTCATGCAATGTCATGCAGATGTATCATGCACGTCCCCCACACTGAAACCTCCCTCAACATGGCAGGTATGAACAACTATGATTTATAAACAATTATAAAAATGAAAGTTGAAAGACATTTCAGTGTGTCTGTCCATAGCAATGAAAGATAGGCTAAAATATTCTCAAAAGAAATTGAAAGAATTCTGCTTCTTTCTGAGATATTGAGAAAATTGTAGATAGTATTTCCATATTCTTTGTGAAGTCAAAATCATCCAAGCATCATTATAGAACATCTGTTGCACTCCAGTTTTCTCAATCATGAAATATGGGGATGATGATAAATTACATGAGTTAAAAGAAAAAAGTTTATTTTGAATAAATATCATAATAAATATGTTCAATAAATACAAAATACAAATACAAAATATCACTGATGTTACAACATACAATAAAATTACCAACAGATAATGATGATGAATGTAAAACCACAAACATGGAGATTGTGAATGGGTCATTGCCTTAAAATGGCAGAGACACACTGTATCACATACAAATCAACCAAGTTAAAACTTTAAAATGAATATAAATATATTAATAAAACAATCTGAGATTTGCATATTTGTCAATAATGTCTTGAAACTATTTAGTGCAAAGAACTTATATCAGTCCATAGACTGCATGTTGATCTATGAGTCCTTAGTTTGTCGTATGACCGCAGCAAGCTGCTTGAAGTTCATGTTTGCTGCTGATCGCTGTGATCTAAGACCACGTTTGTCCAGGCAAAAGTCACTGCTTGTCTGATGTGAATTATGCAGCTCCATGTCATCTGAAGTTTGGTCACCACTTGAAGAAATTGTAACGCTGTCAATATCTGACACGTCACAGCTTCCATGGTTCCTGTGAAAACTGGGAATATCAGATGACCATCGCTTTGGTTCTTCCTTTCTTTTGCTAATGCTGGACTGTGGTCTCTCCATGCTCTCATCTCTTTTCTTCTCAAAGTGGAGAAAGAGCTCAGACACCGACCTTGAACCTGGTCTCACTGTCCTCTTCTGGAATGTCTGGGGCTCACTGCAGTCAGCTGAGAATCTCTTCTGGATATCAGAGACGTTGAGTCCTGAAGACAGTCTCCTTAGTCTGTCTCTTGTCCTGTTCTTTATGTCCTCTACTTTAGAAAACTCATCAGAATCAAAGTCCTTTGTCAATTTTTCAAACTTCTCTCTGATCAATGCACATCTATTAGTGTTTGTTACAACATGTGGTCTGTTCTCAGGCAAAGTTTTCCTCTCTCTGCGGTCCAGCAACTTCTTTTGAACTTGTGCCAAATGCTCCCCTGAAGAAGACCTCTTGAGACAACGGTCAAGTTCCAACTTGCTTTGAGTTGTGTTGTCCTCTGACATTTCCTTTTGCAACTTCTCAAATTTATCCAGAAGACTTTTTCTGCTGGGTATTAAAACTTTCTCGGAATGTTTTAGGAGACCGTCTTCTTCATCCTTGGAGAATCTGTTCTTTATCTGCTGAATGTTTGGCTGCCTTTGTCCCTGCTGGTTACCTCCAGAGGAAACTTTACTGAATTCCTTTACTTCTGATGCGACCTCGTAGTTTTTGTAGTGTAAACCATGGACAGATGTTCCTGTGTTTGATGTACCAGCAATTGAAGTTGGAAGTTTTTGAGTTCCTTTCTTCTCATCTCCTGGAAAACTTTTAAACGAAGACTTTTCTGGTATCATTTTCTTAAAGTTTCGAGCTACTGCATTAAAGTTTGTTTTATGCCTGGGACTCTCAGTTTTAGAACCTCTCATATCTGTATCAATTTCTTCAGCTAAGCTCTCAAGACTTGTTCTGGGTGGTGAAATCTTTTGTTGTTTCCTAATCTGCTCATCTTCAAACTCATCCATAAGTAGACTGTCCAGACTTGCTCTTGCTGATGAACTACAAGAATTCTTTCTGACTGAAGAATTAACATTTCTTTGCACCAAACTGTCAGTACTGCCCCTCGAAGAAAGACTAAATAAACTGTTCTTGGATGACACATACTGAGGTCGACTCATAGAATACACATTCTGAACACTGGTTGTACGAGTAAAGCTCTCACTGCTTCTTATCCTTGGCCGATTCACTTCCTGTGAGCTACCTGTCGGAGATAAATCTGGCATACTTCCCACCTGATGAGGTGACTGTAGTTCTGCCTTCGAAGACTGTGAGGATCTGTGTGACCAGTCCATATCCTCATTGTCCTGACTCAAGCTGTATGAGCTGACAGAGCAACTTGGAGATGAGCATTTTCTTTGAAGACTACTGGATTGTTGTCCTTTGTTTACGTCAGATGAACTGAACCATGAGGACTTGGATGATACAGAAACATCATATGTTGAGTTAGAGCTGGTTACATCTGCACTCATGATTCTCTCTCTCCTTTGGTTCCTTCTAGACTCACTCTGACTTCTTCTCGGGGAGCTTGGGTCAGACAAGCGGTAATTCCGCAAGTTAAGCTGTGTCTGCAACTCCCTCTGCCATGCCTTTGTATCGCCATTAAGTTGGTTTCTAGTTTGGGGTTTCTGCTCTTCTTCCTCAGCCTCCATTAAAAGTTCCCTTAGGGATGGAGCTTTCCCTGACCAGGTCTCATATCGCCTATGTCTGGGTTTCACATCAGACTTCTCCTTAGGTGTCTTATCAGTTTTAGTTTCAAATTTGCTTTTAATGATTGTAACGACTGGTTTTCTTGGTTTTCTGCCATGTCTTGTTGGGAGATGTTTTTCTCTTGGGGACTCATCTTGCGAGTCTTGGTCAGAGGTTCTGTACGACCTGGGCGAAAGCTGAAATGTTTGCAGTGTATGTTTGAGAGTTGTGAAACATGAAAATCAGATTAATTTGTTACATCAAAACTGAATAACTGTAAGCTACGAAGAAATCTCAAATTTCAAAATGCCCAAAATTTGTTTGATCAAGGTTTTAACACTCACAGACTAAACACAACTTTCAAACTGTTTTATGGTAAAGGTGAAGGACATTTCCAAATTTGACACTGCAGTGACCAAAATGAAGTATAAATATCTTCCTATTTATTTTCAGGTGAACATATATATAGACTTGTCTTTGCATTTGTTTTTGACGGTGCACAACACCTGGTATTATCTCTAGTCTCAATCATACATTTGAATATGGAAATGATTTTGTTTTGGTCTTTTACACATCTATTTGTGTTACTCTATTCAAGAAAATATTTGGATCACTGGTGGCCCCTATTATACTCACATTCATTGACACGTCTGTACATGGAAGAGTAGGTTTAACTGTCACAATGATGTCCCTTGGTCCATATGGCCCCCATGCCTTTGGAACATTGTTTGAGATCCGTGGTGAGATGAACTCATCCTCCCCATCTGATCTGGGTGTTAGATTGAAGAAAGTGCTGCTGTTCCTGAAGAATCGGGGTGTGCTTTGAGCACAGCAAGGTTCAGTAAGATCGGATAGGTTGAGATGAAGGTCACCATTCTCCTCTGAGAATGATAAATTTCCAATTTCCTCATCAAAACTTTGAGCCAGCATTTGAAATGACTTGACTTTGAGATATGAGGTGATCTGAGGGATGGGACCGAGCTGAGATGAGGTTTGTGGGATGTTGGATGAGGAAACACACTCTGTGACAGGGGGATCTTGTACAGCTTGCCTAACACTATCAACTGTTTTACCATCACAGACATCAGTTTGCTTGAATTCTACAGGTTTCACATTTAAAGATTGAGGATTTACAGCCTGAGTGGTTCTGTGTGTCTGCTTACTGTGTGAATCACTTGACCTGTCTGGCACATACTTGGTACTGTGTGTATCACTTGACATGTCTGGCTCATACTTGGTACTGTGTGTATCACTTGACCTGACTGGCTCATACTTGGTACTGTGTGCTGGCACTTTGGGCGGAACATTAGCCTGACATTTGATCTGTGTACTAACTGTCTCTGTCACATGAGATGGAAATGTTTTGGACGCTCTGTTCAAAGATGACTGTTCTTTACAGACTGTCTGTCTGTCCTTGTCTGCCAATGTCTGAGGTTTCAGTGAGATAGATGTTTTAGAAGTATATTGGGAGCATAGATTGAGGTTTGGCTCTTTAGCAAATGATTCAGTTTTCTGTGTTAATGAATTGCCAGAAGTCTTGTGTATCACAACAGTTGTTTCCTCGTTCTTTGGCTTTAAAGGTCTTTGCTTCAAGAAATTTTCAAAGAAAGTCCTTGGGCTCTCTGTCGTGGATTCATCAGCATCTATATTTTCAGTGACACCATAATTCTTGGAAAGGGTGTGTAGTGGCGGTACATTTGTATCACTGGTTCTCCGTGGGGAACTGGGATTTGACATGCTGCTCAGCAGATTAGCCAGTTTCCGTTCTACTTCACTTGTTGCACTTGAATCTTTCCCATTAACAGATTCAGTTTCAGACTCATTCTCCTTCTTCTTTAGACTGAGACGTCGTTGATGAAGGAAATTAGATTTTGGTTCCAGGTAGCTCTCTGTTGCCTTGGTTACTGTCATAGGTTTGGGTTCAGGGGTTGCAGTCTTGCCTTTACTTTTCAGATCATTCAAGAGGTTTGATAGGCTCTGCTTAACTGATGAAGAACCCGTTACCTTGCAATTGGTGTCTGTCTTCTGATTGCTTGAGACAACCTTCTGGAACATTGATACTCTTTCTGCAACAGACCGGTGTCTTTCTGTGGTATCTTCCTCTTCTGTCTTCATCACAATCACTGGTGTTTTTACACAATCAGTGACCTTTACTTGTTTACATTCCTGTCCCTGATTTGT